AAACTTCCATTGATTTACCTATTTGTTCTTCGAACATTTTATTCACTAGGCGTTGGTACGTAGCCTCTGCATTTTTTTAGCCCGAACAATATTACATTATAACAATAGGTTCCATACTTAGTGATAAACAAAATTTTTTCTTGGTCCTCCGGGTCCATGCTAATTTGATTGTACCCGGAGTAGGCATCGAGAAAAGTGAGGATCTCGTAGCCGGTCGTGGCGTCGATCAAGCGGTCGATGCTAGGCAGTGGAAAGGAATCTTTGGGGCATGCTTTGTTTAGATCTTTATAATCTACACACATTCTAAGTTTGTTCCCTTTCTTGGGGACTACAACCATATTGGCCAACTATTCGGGATATTTCACTTCTCGAATTGACCCTATTTTGAGAAGTTTAGTTACCTCATCTCTTACAAATGCGTGTTTCACCTCAGATTGGGGTCTTCTTTTTTGCTTCATCGGTTTGAACCTAGGGTCCAAGCTCAGCTGGTACGTTGTTATCGATGGTGGGATCACCGCCATGTCTAAATGGGACCAAGCAAAACAATCTATGTTATTAATAAGAAATTGAATGAGTTTTTCTCTAAGTTCGGGGGTCAACCCCGTACCCAGGTATACCTTTTCCTCGGGAAGATATTCGATTAATATAACCTTCTCCAGTTCTTCGATCGTTGACTTGGTGGCGTCGGAGTCGTCGGGGACGATAAGAGCTCGAGGTGTCGGTAATTCTTCCTCGTTATCATCTATTTCCTGTTTCACCGATTCGGTCGAGACCGGTTGCTGTGATTGCTATTTTGTTCCTCACCTATTTTTTATACTCGACCTTTCTGAGGCCGACGATGTTGGTATCGGTGTTATCTCATCGACGGCAAACATTTCCTTCGCAGCATGTTGCTCCCCGTACACTGTCTTCACGCCGTCCGACGTATGAAATTTCATTACTTGGTGTAGAGTCGAAGGTACTGCCCTCATATTGTGGATCCATGGTCTTCCGAGTAGGGCATTGTACCTCATATCGCCTTCGATTACGTGGAACTTGGTGTTTTGGACCGTTCCAACCACATTTATGGGCAGGATAATTTCCCCTTTAGTTGTTTCACTGGCCATATTGAAGACGTTTAAGACCCGAGTTGCGGGCATGACTTGATTCTGTAAACCGAGCTTCTCCACTACCCAAGATCAGATGATATTTGCAGAGCTACCTGGATCCACTAAGATGCGCTTAATTCTGAGGGTGAGAGATGCCTTCGACTTCTTCAATTCCGAATGATAAAGTGCCCTCGGGTGCATAACCTCGGGTTCATTTTTCCCTTGTAGCCGGTATCTTGCCGTATTTGAGAACGGGTTCCTGTGTAATATCAACCCCACCGATGATCATGTTAATGATATGTAGAGGTTCCTGCTGTTTATCTCCTTTGTCAGCGTCCCTTTCTCTGAAGTGATTCTTAGCTCGATCACTAAGCAACTCTCGAAGGTGGCCCTCATTGAATAGGCAGGCTACTTCTTCTCTCAATTGTCTGTATTCCTCAGTCCCGTGGCCATGCGTACCATGATACTTGCACATCGAATTCGTGTTCCTTTGGGAAGGGTCAGTTTGCATGGGTCTGGGCCATCTTGTATCTTTGATTCTTTCGATCACCGATACAATGCCTGATGCGTCGATGCTGAAATTGTATTCCGATAGCCGAGGTGCCTCCATAGGATCGACATATTTATCAAAGCCACTCTTGCTCATAAGCCCTCGAGAATTTTTCCCTCGATCACTCCTTCGATTGTTCCGAGCGGTATTGCGTGTTGAACCGTTGTTCATCCGATCTGCGATGTACTGTTGATATTGGTCTCTGTTCGACCTTTGTTCTCTGTCGATCTCCCTTTGGTTTTTAATAGCCGTACTGTTTTGATGCATGGATCCAGGCGGAGCTCCCAACTGGTCATCTTCGACCCTAATTTTCAACTGATATCGGTTGTGTATATCCGCCCAAGTTATTACTGGATACTCGATAAAATTTTGCTTCAGCCGACATGATGCTATTGAACTTTTCTCGTTCAACCCTTGGGTGAAAGCTTGGACGGCCCAATCGTGTGTGATCGGTGGCAATTCCATGTGTTCCATTTGAAATCAGGATACGGATTCTCTCAGCATTTCATTACCCATTTGCTTTACTTTGAAGAGGTCTAATTTCCTTGTTGCAACCTTTATGGCACCAGCATGTGCCTTTACAAACGAATCTGCTAACATGGCAAAAGAATCGATGGAATTTGGCGGCAGATTGTGATACCAAATCATCGCTCCCTTCGAGAGGGTCTCCCTGAACTTTTTTAATAATACGGATTCGATCTCATCGTCCTCCAAATCTTTACCCTTGATGGCACATGTGTAAGAGGTGACGTGTTCGTTGGAATCGGTCGTACCGTTATATTTGGGAATTTCGGGCATACGCAATGTTTTGGGGATTGGTTTTGGGGCCGCACTCGAGGGAAAAGGCTTTTGTATGAATTTTTTCGAATCCAGCCCTTTTATCATTGGTGGAGCTCCCGGGATCTGATCGACCCTGGCATTGTATATTTCCACTCTCTTGTCATTGGCTTCGACTCATTTTGTGAGTTTCTCGAGCAATTTAGTAATTTCAGGAGTGGTCCCCGATTCTTGCTCGTTTGACTTCACTATGGCAGGCTCCGTTTTGGGGGTAATTTCTCGAAGCGGATTGGGATTTGGCCTACTTTGTATATGAGTTTGGCTCTGCAATTGAGCTATCACTACTTGTTGGGCTTGTAACATCTCGAAGATCATACGTAAGCTGACCCTGATTTCCTCCACGTTATGGGTGTCTCGAGCTACGGATTGAGTATCGCACTGAATGCTTTTTTTGCGGTTCGGAACGTTGGTTCGCCTCAAGAGCCACTTGCGAATTGACATCTAGGCAGTACTTCGGCTCGAATTTCAGGTACTTCGATTCGAGCTTCAGTGCCATCGTCAAGTGGCCTTCTGGCCCCGAGTACCAAGTTGTTGGTTTCATCTCGAAGGCTAGCTTCGTGGTCGATAGGTAAGGTCATTGCTGATTCGAAGTTGTAAACTGGTGTGTATTGCAGATTTATATCAAACAATCGTTGTTATCCTTAGCCCCACGGTGGGCGCCAAACTGTTTATCCGGAAAATCGGATAAAGTTAAATTTGAGTATGGTTCTAAAGATATGTGAAATAGTTTGATACAAAATCGTATAGAAAAATAGTAATACCTATATTCTTGACTATGAGAATGAGAATAGTTGAGCAAGAAGAATGAATAAGATAAAGTAAAACGAGCACAAGGAGATATCTTTCAATATGAGAAGTGATCTTTTGTCACAGTGTGTGAGACTGCCTTATGCTTACAAGGATTCCCCTTTTATAGTAGAGAAATCCTACTTTATTTACAATAATAAAAACATATAATGGAGAACCCATGATGAATTGTCTCTTCTTCGATTCCCGCCAAGATTCTCTCCCTTAATGCGGTTGTAACGGCTCTTGTCTGCGAGCTCGATACTGGCTCGAACTCGTTATTGGGCCGAACTCTTGGCTTTGGCTTGAGTTCGACCTTTGGGGTATAGCGCATTTCCGACCACCCTCACGTTGCCTTGCGGATCGATTTGGTCATGGGTTCGATAATAGCATCGAGCCGACTCCTCGATCAGTCTTTGAAACTCGAGGCTCGTTTGTACTGTCTTTGGAACTCATCCCAAAATCCCACTCCGGTTGCTTACCATTCAAACTCGATCGAACGTAGGAAGGCCGAAATCTATTTTGACCGTATACACATGTATTAGTCTATTTATAGTATGTAGTTATTTAAGTTGTCTCTATGGCAATTCTTCATTCCTTGTTTGGTTTTAAGACAAAACAATCAAGCACTACTATTTGTCACAATTAAATTTTATAAATTCACAGTTTTATTGCATGAACGTAACTCAACCTAAATGTTATCCTTTATCGTGCGTTTTTCATTATAATGAAATTCATATTTTAAGCTTATCTTAAAGTATTTCAAAATCACAAAAATACAATTCTAACATGTTAAATTATAGTATGAATGTCAAATCTGCACAAAACTTAAAGGCAAATGTTGAACCCATATGAAAGCTTAAAAAAAAGAAATAAAAAAGTGATAAGACTTTTGTTTCATTTCCTCTTCATAATAACTTTTTCCTTATATTATGTACTCGTGAATCGTTATCAAGAAAAACTTTGGAAGAAGTAGGTTAAATAAAAATGAAAAATATAGAAAATATTTTTTCTAAAGAAGTGCTAGTTCGACGCTATCTTTTTTCACATTAAGTGCCTAAATTAAAACCGTATGTATTAATAAGTGCACCTACATTTTTTTGCCTGACATCTAAAATTATCACGAGGATTCAATTGATTTGAAATCCATACAAATACCTACGGATTTGGCATACAAATTGAAATTGCATAGTAATATTTAAGGATTAGTTTTATGCAAATAACTTGTGGTGTAGAATACATTTAGTTACAATAGTTAATATTTTGTTTGTTCTTACTTTTAATATTAAATAATAAATTAAGACAAAAAATGTTTACACATTTAAATTGGTATATCCATCTCCAAACACTTCCAAAATTATATAATGAATTTTATAAAGTGAATCACGTAGTTAGACAATATGCTGGTTATGTGACTTATGCTTTCTACTTTTGTTAATTTTACTTAGTACTTTGTTAATTTTAATGTACAATATTTTACTCTAAAAATTTTGTAATGAAAGCACGTAGTGAGATGTTTTTCTTTTTTGGGAAAATGCAACAATAAATTTGCTTGGTGAGCTAATAAGCTAAGTTGCACTAGTACTTGGAAAAAGTTATGACGTGGCGGACATGACAACATCTTCTACTCGTGGTGTCGATAAAATGACCATATTGTGACATTCCAATTGATTTTCAGAGGCACTATAAAGGCCAAGAAATCCTGGCCTCCGCTCATTATTGCCAATCAACATGGTTACTTCCCTGAGGGGTGCGCTTGAGAACACAGGCGCATTTGGCTTTTCATTAGGCTAATCTATGTGCACTTATGTTCTGTCATCCCTTTGGGATTTGTTCTGTGTTTTTTATAATATAGTAGTCGAACTAATTTGCATGCATCTTGATTAACCTCCTGAATATTTGTTATTTCTATTTGTACTTTTACTCGCTGAAATTTTAACTCAGGTCTTTTATATCAGGGGAGGAGTTAGAAGCCCGAATCCCGAATGTGGATTTTAACCGATTTAGTAGCTTTTGCTCAATCAATATATTTGTGTTAAAAAAATTCATTAGATATGTATAAATATTAAATTTAAAATTCGAGTTACTAGCACTTGAAGTCATTGTGAACCCAAAAAATTGAAATTCATTATTTATTTAAATGAATTGAATTTAATGGTTGTTTTCTGGGAATTCCTCTGTAATGCAAGTTTTGTTATATGCTTTACAAGAAGAACTCCAATCAGATGTCGTACATGCGAGAGCAAGCTTCCGCAAGCCTTTCTTTTTTAAACTACTCCTAATTGCTGGTATAGCTGCTATTTGTTGTCTTTTTCTTCTCTACTAATTGTCGTTGTCTATTAAAAAAATTATTTGGTTTTAGTACCCACTGATAATCAGAAATTTGACTAAAAGATGAAATTTTATATACATGTAATTTTGTAAAGTGATGCCATTTTTTTCGTGCGATTGCAGAAGCCACAAGGTATATATATATCATGATGTTATGAGTCTTGGGGACGCTGAGAAATTTATTGACTGTTCTTTTGTTCAAGTAGTTGCTATGGTATACGGGTAAAATCGGGCCTAATGAGCATCTCGATTTTCCGGTGAGGCAAACAGAACAGGGGCATGACTGTAAAGAATCGGAATCAGAGACAGGAGCCCCTCGTATCAGAGCTCGAGCAAAACACCTGCCCTCGGAGATATCAAGACCACGTCCTCCGGGTCCGGTTCGAGTTTCAAGACTTCGGAGAGCATTACCAAACCACCGCACACGGCTAACAAAGGGCCGTGATATCCGTGCCCAACCGGATATCACGGCGTGAATCTCGACCCGTGTCGGCAGAAAATCAGTGACTAGAAAAAAGGAAGATTTTTACCTTTCTTAGACTTGTACTTAGGGTAAAACTCCCCTACTATATAAAGGGGAAACTAATTATTCATTAGACACACTGTAACACGCATACCAAGGCAATATACCTCTGCTGTCTCTTTTCCTAAAAGTTATTCAAAGTTATTGTTTTTAGTTCATATGTTCTTTGTGAAAGCAATCCCGAAACCGAAGGCAGGTTCCTTGTTAAGCCTTTAACTGAGCTCGGACTCACTATCATTATTGGTTTGGTTATTTAGTATATATTTTATTTTCTTTATCTAACGTCATTAATCACTTATATTGAATTAATTCACATATCTGTAAAATCGCGTATAAATTTAATTGTTATCTATTTTTAAGGGTAAATAGCTTGGCGCCCACCGTGGGGCTAAGGATAATAGTGGTAATTTGATATAAATTTCCATAAAGTATTTTGTTTTACGCTTGTTCTTTGAGATTTTAATTTCAGGTCAACTTAAGAATGTCAAACTCTCAATCTGCTCACTTGAACGTTGATGAAGAGTCTGGCCACCATGGCGAAAACAACAATATAATGCTGAGCAACGAGGTGCCCCATGTTAACCCTAACGGAGTCCTGGTTGCGGACCCTATCGATGCCAACTCACATGTGGCGATCAATGCAAACCTGCAGACCGACCCCGAGAACAACATTTGCGAAGGAGCCCGATCAATAACCCGGCGTACGCACGACGGTGAAGGCAACAGGATCAATCTGCGGGTGATCTTCAGAATATTACAAGCTCTACAAGCGGCAATAGCCCAGCTGCAGAACCAAAGCTGTGCCCCCAACAGAGTTAAGCCTGAACCATCCCGGGAAAACACCTGAAGAAATGAACAAACCACGGAAAGGCCAGGTGAATTTGAACCCGAGACCAACCCCGAAATAATAAAGATTCTTGAGGAACTAACAAAGTGGGTGGAATCGTGGGAAAGGAAGATTGAAGCCAACGACAAAAAAGTGGAGGCCTAGAACTCTAGAGTTTATCAAATCCCAGGAGCACCCCCGATATTGAAAGGCCTGGATTCTAAGAAATTTGTCCAAAAGCCTTCCCTCCGAGCGCGGCACTGAAACTAATCCCGAAGAAGTTCCGTATGCCCAAAATTCCAAAGTATAGCGGAACCACGGATCCAAATGAATACGTGACCTCCTACACATGTGCCATCAAGGGAAACGACTTAGAAGATGACGAAATCGAGTCGGTTTTGCTGAAAACGTTCGGAGAAACCGTGTCGAAAGGAGCAATGATATGGTATCACAACTTACCCCCCAATTCCATTAATTCGTTTTCTATGCTTGAAGATGCCTTCATAAAAGCTCACGCCGGGGCCATCAAGATCGAGACCAGAAAATCGGACCCTTTCAAATTGAAACAAAGAGATAACGAAATGCTCAGGGAATTCGTGGCGACGTTTCAAATGGAACGAATGGACCTGCCTCCGGTTGCAGACGATTGGGCCGTTCACTCAAGTACTCAACCTCCAAAGCTCCTTGGCTTCACAACAGCTGAAACAAAGTTTGATAGAGTACCCGGCGGTAACTTGGGCTGACGTCCATAGCAGGTACCAATCAAAAATCAGAGTCGAGGATGGCCAGCTCGATGTCCCTCCGGGTCCGTTTATCCTATCAGAACTAATGATAGGTCTAAAAGAGTCGTCGATCATGAACCGATACCGAACAAAGATCGGTATAAACCATATAGCAGAGATTGAAGGGGTAGCAGATCCGGGCGTAGCCCTGCGAGGAATGAAAAAGGAGCGATCGTGGCCACAATAGCCGGGGACTCATGAGTAAAAACGGTTTCGAATGGCCACTCGGGGCCAGGGAGGCACCAAGATTATCAGAATATAACTTTAGTGTCGATGCTGCTAGCATCGTATCTTCCATCGGGAGCATTAAAGATACCAAGTGGCCTCGGCCATTGCAATCCGATCCTGCCCAAAGAGACCCCAACCTGATGTGTAAGTATCATGGCACTCACGGACATATGACCGAAGACTGCCGGCAACTAAGAGAAGAAGTGGCCCGGTTATTCAATAACGGTCACCTCCGGGAATTTCTAAGTGATCGGGCCAAAAATCACTTCAGGAATTGGGACTCCAACAAATAGACCAAGCAAGATGAACCTCAATACGTCATTAACATGACCATTGGTGGAGTTGACGTCCCCCAGGGGCCAATGCTAAAGCGCACTAAGATGTCCATTACAAGGGAAAAACGAACCCGAGATTACATACCAGAGGGGACCATCTCTTTCAACGATGAGGACACTGAAGGCATCGTGCAACCGCATAATGATGCACTGGTAATATCTATACTCATAAATAAATCTCGAGTTAAGCGTGTGTTAATTGATCCAGGTAGCTTGGTCAATATCTTCAGATCGAGGGTCGTAGAGCAGTTGGGTCTACAAGACCAAATAGTGCATGTAGTTCGGGTTTTAAACGGATTCAACATGGTATGCGAAACTAATAAAGGGGAGATAACCCTGCCGGTAAATACCGCTAGACCATTTAGGAAACAAAGTTCTATGTGATTGAAGGGGATATGAGATATAATGCTCTATTTGAAAGGCCATGGATTCACAAAATAAGGGCTATACCCTCGACACTACACCAGGCACTGAAGTTCCCCACACCTGGAGGGATCAAGACGGTTTACGGAGAGCATCCAGCCGCAAAAGAAATTTTCACGGTCGATGAGGTGATGCCGATGTCCGCACTCTCAACATCAAAGCACTCGGAGCCAGTTGGGAAGGAGGAAACTAAATAACAATCACCGAAACTGGCCCCGACCGAACCGGAGAAGCAAGAAGCAGACGAGGATGATGACTAAGAAGTTCCTAGGTCGTTCATCACCCCTGACGATTACGACGCCACCAAATCAATGGTCGAGGAGCTGGAGCAAGTCATATTGATTGAGCACTTGCCCGATCGAAAGGTATACCTGGGCATAAGGTTAACTCCCGAGCTTAGGAAAAAACTCATTAAATTCCTTATAGCTAACGTAGATTGTTTTGCTTGGTCCCATCTTGACATGACAGGGATCCAGCCAGAAATAACCACTCATAAGCTAAGCTTGGATCCGAAGTCCCACCCGGTTAAACAGAAGAGGAGGCCTCAGTCCGAAGTTAAGCATGCATTCATCAAAGACGAGGTATACAAACTCCTTAAAATAGGTTCCATTTGGGAAGTTAAGTACCCGAATTGGTTGGCTAACGTAGTAATAGTGCCTAAAAAGGAAATAAATTGATAATATGTGTAGCTTGAACAAGGCGTGCCCCAAGGACTCTTTTCCTTTGCCTAATATCGATCGCATGATCGATGCGACAACCGGGCACGACCTACTTAGCTTTCTTGATGCCTATTCCAGGTATAACCAAATACGGATGGACCCGGGCGATCAAGAAAAAACTTTCTTTATCACTAAATTCGGCACCTATTGTTGTAACGTAATGCCGTTCGGACTAAAAATTGCCGGTGGCACTTATTAATACCTAGTAAACTGGATATTCGAAAAACAAATAGGAAAATCAATGGAAGTTTATATTGATGACATGTTAGTTAAGTCCCTGCGAGCAGAGGACCATTTGGAACATTTGCAGGAAACCTTCGACATACTGAAGAAATACAATATGAAGCTGAATTCGGAGGAATGTACATTCGGGGTCGGATTTTGGAAGTTCCTTGGATTCATGGTGTCCAACCGAGGGATTGAGATCAATCCTGATAAAATCAAAGCTATAAAAGACATCACCATAATGGATAGTGTCAAAGGCGTTCAGAGGCTAACCGGGCGCATAGCCGCCCTAGGCCGGTTTATATCGAGGTATTCCGATAAGAGCCACCGGTTCTTCTCATTATTGAAGAAGAAGAATAACCTTTCTCTGACCCAGGAAAGCCAACAAGCCTTGGAAGAAATCAAACGGTACCTTTTGAGTCCCACCTTGCTCCATACTCCAAAGGCGGACGAGCAGCTGTACTTGTATCTGGCGGTATCCGAGGTAGCGGTAAGTGGAGTCTTAGTCTAGGAAGAGGATGGTACACTCGCTTTGCTAGGAATACCCGGCCTCATTGTTAGTCAATTTCTCTAGGAATGCATTATGTTCCTAGAGAAATTGGCCCTCGCTTTGCTAAGCGCCTCCAGAAAGTTAAAGTCGTATTTTCAATGTCACCCCATATGCATCGTAACTTCTTACCCACTAAGGAACATAATGCATATGCCCAAGCTCTCGTGCCGGTTGGCCAAATTGGCCGTAGAAATTAATGGGTACGATATCGAATATCGACCCCGAACCGCCATCAAATCACAAATTTTGGCGATTTCGTGGCTGACTATACGCCGGCCTTAATGCCCAAAGTCAAAAGGGAATTGTTGCTAACCTCGGGGATTTTCTCGGGAATCTGGACCCTCTTTATGGATGGCGCCACGAACGTAAAGGGGTCCGGAATCGGTATCGTGTTGAAGCCGCCTACGGGTAACGTAGTTAGGCAATCTATTAGAACTGTGAAATTGACTAACAATAAGGCCGAGTATGAGGCCATGATTGCAGGTTTTGAATTGTCTAAAAGCCTGGGGGCCGAAGTGGTCGAAGCCAAGTGCGACTCCCTCCTTATGGTAAATTAAGTCAATGGGACGTTCGAAGTAAAAGAGAAACGAATGTGAAGGTATTTAGACAAGATACAGGTAACGCTGCATCGATTCAAGAAATGGACCCTACAACACGTACCCCATGATCAAAATAGCGAAGCCGATGCCCTGGCTAACTTGGGGTCATCAGTTGATGACGATGAATTCAACTCAGGAATGGTCGTATAACTCATGAAATCGGTAGTGGAAGAAGGCCATGTCGAAATAAACTCAACAAGTTTAACTTTGGATTGGAGAAACAAGTATATAGACTACTTGAAGACTGGGAAGGCTCCTTCGGATCCTAAAGAATCGAGAGCTCTGTGCACGAAGGATGCCAGGTTTAGCCTGTCTGAAGGTACTCTATTTAGAAGAACGTTCGATGGCCCGCTCGCCATATGCTTGGAGCTGGGAGACACCGAATATGTTTTGAGAGAAGTTCACGAAGGCACCTGC